GAGAGAGAGAGAGGCGTAGAAACGCGTTGAGAGGAATGAAGAAAAGAGAAAGGGAGAAGGAAAGAAGGAGAGGATGATAAATCTGACCGTGAACAATAAGTTTGCTATAAAGAATCGTTCCCTGGCGTTCCCTTGACGTGCGACTTGACGAAGACGCGACGATTTATCGTGGAAATTTGGATTTTTCAGAGAAAAATGGTGGATAAATTGGAATGGTTGAATAACGAGTTCGTGCAAAGGGTCCTCCAGTACAACGAGTACGACACCAGCATCAATGTAACGAATTTATCGACGAAACCGGCAACCACCAAAGGTGACAATTATGCCAGCGACATGTATAGGGTGACCGTGAAGTACACGCAGAAGGAGGGCAAGACCAGGGTCAATAAGGAGACGTCGATCGTGTGCAAGTTCGAGCCGTTGGAGGAGGACGCTCGAAAAGAAGCGGTAAATATTCTTACGGGGGAATTTTGAAAAAACGAATTTTTACCTTCCTATATATAGGGTCGAGGCTTTCTAATCGATCGAACTCTTGTAGACATCTTGAGAAGAAAAAAAAAAAAAAAAAAAAAAAACCTAATCAAATATATAGAACAATCGCATATACACAACATTGGTACGTGACTTATATATCTTACGGCAGATATTTCTGAACGTTTTGTAAGATCATGTCAATGGGTATCTTCGAGAACGAAATCTTCATGATGTCAAATTCGCTACGAAAGATGCAACAAATGTTGGGCAGTCGGCTGGGAGCAAATGTACTTTACTGTAGAATGGAACGGCCGATTTGTTTGATGTTGGAAGACCTTGCTCGTCTAGGCTTTCGTATGGCCGATCGTTTCCGTGGTCTAGATTTCGATCACTCCAAGCTAACTCTTCAAAGCTTGGGCAAATTTCACGCAGCGTCGGTCGCACTGTGCGAGAAGGTAACGATCCATCATCGTTCGAATTTCCTTCTTCGTTATAATATATCTTTCGACCGCGAATATTTCCATTGCGTAATCTTGGATGTACTTTTTCCAGGAACCTAAGCTAAAGACCGTGTACAACAAAGGGATACTGTACGAAGGAATGCCGACCGAATTCAAATTCTTCTTCGTCTCCGCTATTAAAGCTCTCGGAGATGATTTGGTAAATTGGCCGCAAGACGTGAAAAGGTGAAGCTCGAATCGAGTACAATAAAAACGTTAACCGAACGCGTAACGAAGATTCGACGTTTGATTTGTTTTTTTCTTTTTCTCTTTCAATTTCACGCGATCTCCATATACCACAGGTACCAGAACAAAGTTAAGAAATTCGCCGAGATTGTTTACGACCGTGGTTTGGCGGCATTGCAACGAAACGACGACGAGTTCAACGTTATTAATCACGGTGATTCCTGGACGAACAATATGATGTATCGATACGATGAGAATTCAAAGCCTGTCCAACACGTGTTTGTAAGTATCGCGATATTTCGCACGCAAAAACTCGCGAAAACAAAATCCTCGTTCGAGGAAGTAGTAGAATCCTTCGAAAGATACGCGTTCTCGAAACATTATGCGAATTATGCAATAAAATTCGACTCGATCGTTATTTGGATATTAAATATTGCACGTCTCTCGAGTCGAGGGACAAACCTTTGGTGAAAGGTCGCGCTCCGTTCGTTCTTTCGTTCGAATCTGATCGCGCAGATTCCATTTCCAACTCGTTTCGCGGCCAGTTTTACATCGAACATTACGACGTTCCAGGTGGATTACCAAATGTCTATCTACTCTTCACCGGCGATCGACCTGCTCTACTTTTTAAACGCGACCGTACAGAACGAAGTGAATACCGAGAATCTGATCGAGGAATACATAAATACGTTGACGAACACCATGAAGAGGCTAGGTTGCAAAACGAGACCGCCTACGATAAAAGATATAAAGAAATACATGAGGGAACGGATAGCATGGGGATTCGTGGCCGCGGCTACCGTATTGCCATTCACCCTGATGGATAAATCCGAGGTGGTGAGTCTGGACGAGCTGATCAAAAAGAAGACACGTTTGATTATCCCGGGACCAGGAATCCAATGTATCGAAAGGTAATGGCCGAGAGATTAGCGAAATTCGACGAAGCAGGCGTGTTCGATTAATTCGGTATGGATTAAAGCTTGTTTAAAACTAATTGGAAAGAATTAATCGTGCGCGGTACAATAATCCTTTCTCGTAAATGATACTCGACACTCTCGTGACGATATGCACATGCTACATCTACGAAAAAAAAATATTTAAATTTAATCAATATATGTTGATATTAATAAGCAATAACGTTTTATCTACTGTCTTGCGAGCTCGTCGATTATATATTTATTTTCTTCTCTTTGTAATTAAATTTGATAACTGCGCATACTCTAGAAATTATGTGCTATATCTTTTTTCGTGTGTATCTATATCGAATGAGAGGAAAAGATGAAACGAGAGAGAGAGAGAGAGAGAGAAAGAGAGAGGTTCAACTAACCGCGCACAATAATTTTGAATATATTCAAATATTATAGAGAATTACACGTAGCGTAACACGTACCGTGATTAAACGACTAATTAAAATAATTTCGATTCGCTAACGAGGTTAGAGGTTATTTACAATTTAATCGAATTTCGATATATACTTAGTTAGAAACTCATGAAACCAAAGTTCAATATCTTTCTACGTAGGCGACGTAGAGACGTAAGAGTCTTTAGATTTAATGCTTCCACGTGGTGCGAGCATTTGTACACTCACTTTTAAGATTAATATATTTCTCGCCTCTTAACAAACGTCCACCAATCGATGGTACAAATTTAGCAAATTATTATTGTTGTATATTATAGAACCATTTATAATTAACAAGGTATTAACTCCCAAGATCCATGCGATTGATAATCCCTATTTTTGCTACTTGTATTTACTAATTTTCAACGTAAGAAACAAATTTCTCACGTTGACAATTGTTTTCACAAGTATTCCATTGTTGTAACATGAAAGGAAATGAGAGAAGAAAAAAAAAAAAAAAAAGAAAAAGGAATAAAATGAACGAACGAAGCACAAACTTTGTTATGTATTTTTAAAGCGCCACGCTTTATTTCAAAAAGAAAAATAATTCCACTCTCGTCTAATTTATGAGATTAAGTCTTCAATGAACCTTGCCCCATTTTTTCCCTCCTCTATTATTCGCCATCGTCGTTGAAACGAGTCATTGCATCTTAAATCACGCGTAAATCATGGCCGGATAAAACGCAACAACGGGATAAAGATTTAGAAGCAGAATCGCACTTTCGCGAAAACGAAAATGTGTCGCGAAATGTTTTGAATAAATGTCCTCCCGCATACCGTTTCGGCGCGAACAAAGAAGTGGCTGGACGATGAAATTGCCGTTCAACATACGTCCCCCTCCCTCTCTCTCACGCCTCGCCCTACCTATTTTACGGATTAATTGCAGTTTCACGGAGGAAGATTGGCGCGAGACTGACTGACGCAAATCTGTGGCCGAAAGTGGAAGAACGGAAAGAAACACGGGCGAGAAAAACACACGCGGTATAAATATACGTATTCACGGTATCGCGGAGGAAATCGTTTCTAATTTTCGGTGGAACACTTCCGCGATAAAAAGAAGAGAAAAAACGAAGGAGAAAAAAAAATGTGACCGTCGAAAATATTTTCGAGAAAAAAGATCGATCGAGACGAGAGGATGGAACGGAGAGGATGATGATCGATCGGGATTATTTTCGCGAAAAATTGTTATCCCGAACGGGGATTTGAATAAAGTTTAGCGCGTTAAAAAATGGGCGATCGGTGTACGTTTGAAAGTATGATAATTAATCGACGGTGCGAAACGACAATGGGATATGAATAATAATTATCGGTCTCACGATGGATTGTACGATGCACGTAAAAAAAATTGAAATTATATCCCGAAAATTATCTCGCTCCGAAATTTTCAATATTTGCTTCGTACCAAATTAACGAACAATTAAATTCGATGCGGACGTATCGGCGTAACGATGACACACTCTGTTGTTCGAACGAAGAGGAGGAGGAGGTTTCGTATATTGATTTCATACACGGGACACGCGATACACGCGTCAAAGCGGACAACGTAACGAGCTTGATTCAAAGGATGATTCGTACAAATCACCGGCCGTTTGTACGAAGCAATGGGAAAATCACTTATTTCAAACGAGCTCGGAACTTCGTAGCTCCAACTGTTCGACGAGGGAAGGGTTGAGAATGATCCGACGATGCATTCGACGTATCAAAGCAATTTTCTCCGCTCGGCTCTCGAGATCCACGGCCTCTCGAGTACCTCTCGCGCAACAATAATTATCGAAAGTAGTACTTTTCAATTTCTCTCGGGTATCGGATCGAGGATCGACGTCCATGGATCGATTCCGTCCAAACTCAAACTCTTTTCATCCCCTCGCCTTCACCTTCCACGCGGAATCGCGAGAGATTATCGAGGGAGAGGGGGATGGTACTCCTGGTGATGATTTAACCCCTGGGCCGGGGTTATCGACCTCCTCCCATCGATCGAGCTGCCAGAGATATTATTACACCCACGCGTGTGAAAACGCATAGATTCCACCGCGGCCAACAAGCATCACGGAGAACGCGATTAACTCTGAAAGCTAATTAATATCTTCCAAGCCCGGGACACGCGTTTCGCCTTTCAATTAAACCGAACTTGTGTTTGACCGTGAGCATATTTATGCACAAGCGTGTACGTGACACGAAACAAACGATCGAATTAATCACCGGATGATTCGCTATCTCCGATCTCGTTATATATATATTACGACGATTATCCGATTCCATCTTTTACATCTATTAATTTTTAATCATTATCTTATATGTATTGCAAAGAAAAAAAGAAGAAAAAGAAAAAAGATGCATCGTCATACTCGTCCCATTATTTATATCGTATATTAATATCTTATCGATCGATAAGGTATTAAGGTATCAAGATCGATAAGATTTTCGATTATTATAAATTTATCCTCAACAAAAGATATTTATATTTTCGAGTCGATGATCAATTGTTCGTTGTAATCGATGTTGCAACCGAATTATCCACGACGATGATTTTGCATTTTTTCAAAGCCGATTAAAAATAATCACAACGTATTATTATTTTCTTCTTTCCTTCGTTCCCGTCCCTTCCTTTCTTCTTTTCTTCCCTTTCTCCCTTTCTTTCTTCTTCCTTCCGTATTATTATTATCTTGCGTGTAGTCGTGTGGTTTGTCGAAGAGACAGGGGGAGGAAGGGAGGAGTTCCATTCCAGAGATACAACGTCGAGATGTACGTACACCCATTATCTCGTTTTCCACGAATACCACACGAGTGTTTCGTGGAAAATTTCCATCTCAGCCAAAGGATCCAATTAAGAGAGACATTCTCATTTCTTCTCTTTTCTTTCCTTTTTTTTTTTTTCACAAAAGAGATCGACAACGATGATTTCTCGAGTCAATTTATAGATCGTAACGGGGACCGAATCATTTTCCACACAAGAGACAGATATTCGTGCGCAATAATCGATCGAAGCGGGGAGAAGTTGGCGCTTCCTATAGGCTTGGCCGATATCGAGGAGAGACGGCAGACATATTGTCCAATAGTGTAAGTAATAGGCAATTTCGATAACAAATAAGTTGCCGCTGCAATATCATTAGTCAACGTCCTTCCGTCTTGCTATGCATTGATAAAATGACACCCCCGGCCGCGATCAGTCATGTCTCTCGTCGCGGTTCCGCCTCGTAAAACGTGAAATCTCCGCGAGGAGATTTTATTAACCGTTTTACCATGAATTAATTTCCATCACAAATCATCGCACGATGAATCGGTAGTCGGCCGATTCATAATACCAACGATAATACACCGTGACACGCGCTACTCCATTTTGCGACTACTCCCCACTTTTTTCTCCTTTTCGAACGCGTTTCAAACTTCAACTTCGAGAGAGAGAGAGAGAGAGAGAGAGAGAGAGAGAGAGAGAGAGAGAGAGAGAGAGAGAGAGAGAGAGAGAGAGAAGAAGAAGAAGAGAGAG